ATATTTTTTAACTCACTTAATTCTTACCTAGAACAATCCCATCATCCCTCATATTTATTGAGCATTCCCTTGATCCTTCTTTGGAATAATCAATTGTTGCGCTATAAGGGACTAGTTTAGGAGGCACAGAATTCTCCAAAACATACTTAAAAGCCACAAGTCTTACTAAATCACCCGGTTTCAAAACTCCAGAATCAACCAGTCTTGTTGCCAGCAAGTCTGCAGCACTATTGGATGGAGCTGCCACCAATAATCTGGAGTGAGGTATCATACGCAAAATTTGTAGAATAATCTCAATCAAAGTTACGGTTTTGCCGGTGCCCGGAGGCCCAAAAATAACGTAAGGGAGTGGTCGCGCTGTTCCCACCAAAACATTTCGAACAGCTTCCTTCTGATAATAATTTAAACTTTTATCATACCATTCAAGTTTAAAACGCCGATTGTTGGTAGAAATTGGAGTTTTTGTTGTACTGTAGTTATTATTTCTCCATTTTTTATTTTCATTATGAAAATTGTCTTCAGTATTAATATTAAGGAGGAGTTTAGACCCTTGATTCGGAATAGTGTTTTCGTCCTCCTTATTGTCTTTTTTTCTTTCTAAAGAACCACAGTTTGTGGCATCAGATAAACTTCTATTTTTTAATTTCTTATGAGTTGTATGAAGTATATTATAGTATTCATCATAGGTAAAATTCAGCTGCGGCGCCTTCTCAACTACTTTTGTAGGTAATAAGATTGTAGATCCCAAATTTCTCACGACCAAACCAACTGCTTGATGCAGACGTCTAAAAGTTGTCCGTGAACTCACAACTTTAACAGAATAATCTTCTCCTCCATAGGAGTCATGAAACATTGGGGCAAATTTTATGTATATATGTTTGGCTCCAACTTTGTGCACATACCCTTCATATGAAACAGCATCATTTTTATAAGAATCCTTTGCTATAATCCTGTCTCCAACAATAATTGAAGGCCTTCGTTCAGACAAATTTTCAATTTCTAGCATCAAGTATTCCCCATTTCTAATAAAACATGCTGCATCTTGGTCGTAAGTTCTAATTGCAATCAAATTATATATCTCCTCCAAATGTAACAAAGTGTGAAATTTATCTTCATATATACTTAAAGTCAGGGAAGCAGTAAGACAAGGTTTAGTTGAAGTTAATTCTTGACTAAGTTGTGGGTTGTCATTGAATGAATTATGCTTTAAAATTATGTTGAATAGTTTCTCAGGTACAGGATACTCTGGTAATCTTGCAGAAATAAATCTAGGAGTTTGGACAACTTTTTGTCCAGGAATTAAATCCTTAGATTTCCTGTTAGTAAACATTCTAGCTTGTAATAGCAAATTGTTGCCATGAACATGCTTAGCTTTGTCATATGGTTGTTTGTTAGTTTCATAATTTATTGTAACTTGGCGGCCAATTTTAAACTTTTCAAAGTCAAATAATATCAAATTTGATGCTGTACATACAACAAAACATTCACATTCTATTTTTAAACTCTGACCAGCGCTAATTTCTAAACCTTTTTCATTAAATGTTGTACTTATCTTAAATGGACTACTTTTATTGGAAAAATATGCATTTAACAATATCAGTAAATCTTTTGTGTTATTTGTAATTTCAAAAACAAAGTTATATGTTTTGTTATTCTCAGAAACATTCAAATAAATATCATCAGAAATATTAACACCCTCCACGTCAGTTTCATATTCAGAATCACATAATTTATAAAAAAAATCATTTACATGTTGCTTATTAGTTTGAGGAATTATCTTCAATGACCTCCAAATATACATACCCTGTTCACTTTCTATTGCTTCTGTGATCACTTTATCGTTAACTAAAGGTGTATAACCGCCAACTAAACTCTCACTATTAAAAAAGATCTTATTGTCAATTACACCCATTCCTTTATTTTGATCCCACTTTTTAATAACTCCTTGAAGAACTCTTGGTCGCAATGGTCTTATTGCTTCCACTTCCAATATTTTCCCAAACAAATCAGCCACTTGCCATTCCACTTCCACTTTCACTTGCAGATCTATCCAGTCACCAACAATAGGAACAAACTCAGAATGTACTTTATTTAAATTTATTATAAAATCGCCAGGTGATATGTGGATCTTTCTATTTTCTCGTTTTACTACTTTCGTAATTAGTGACCTAGTACACCAAGATCGATTTTCCTCATCTACTTCCAAGTTCCAATCGTCATCCAAAACTTTTACATGGGACACATGTGTCTTGCCTTCTGCAAAATATGCTACAAAAGATACTTTCATTCCAACTTTTAGATTTATCACATCACACTCAAATCGGTAGGTATTATCGATAATAAATGTATTCTTTTTGGCAGAAGTCACTACACCAGTTTTGTGATACGTTGAATATTCTTGCTCTGTTTCTTCGCATATATCATCTTCCTTTTTTACGTCGTTTTCACATGATTTCTCCAAAAGTTTATATGCGTTATCCACAGAAAATTCTGAAGAATTATCTTTCCAAAAATAAGATAATACTGTTCTAAACATTCTTAACAATTTCTAATGTTTATTTATCGTTATGTATGAACGTCAGAAAAGTAGGGTTAGATTAATTTCAAACTTTGTGATCTATGGTCATAGATAATAGATCATTCAATGTAATAGATACACAAAGGGTCTATGGTGATAGTTAATGGCAGTGTCTCCCGTACAATTCGACTGCGTTAGTTTTTCGTTCAAAATTTCACTGTATTAATTTAAGTATTTTTTATCTATGAACATTATTTGTTTTAATTTTGCATTCGAATCGTTGAAACTACCGTATTTTAATAAACACAAGGCGAAAAACAAATTTTTAATTTCAAACAATAATTACAAAAACGCTTGCAATTTCTGATGTTTATGACAAATTCCCCGAAATAAACTGTCACAAAAGGATCGATAAACCAATCTAGGAGTGAATTCAATTTTTTTAAAATCTAGGCAGTTTTTTTTATATTAAAGGCTAATTTCTTAATGTGATAACTCACAACTTTTTCAAAGTATTTAAAATCCTAATCACAATTTCCCACATTCCTGCGATT